GTTTACCATGGTCCCTAATATCCTCTGGGAGTCCAATTTGGTGGGTGAAACCATCCAATTTGCCTTTAAACGACCAATTTACCGGTTTACAACTTGCACCGATTTCATTAATTCAAGCCTACCACGAACATTTATGACAACAAATAATGATCATATATGGTTCAAAACGGCATTTTATGACCCCGATATGTATCTCATAGAATTTGAAGACTTTTCGACACCGGACTCTAAAACCTCTAAAATTTCTCAAAAAGCGTGGATATTAGTCTTCAGTTTTGGAATTTTTTGACTTGTTTTTCGCCAGGAAATAAAAATTGACGAAATGTTTACAATGGTCCCTAATATCCTCCGGGAGTCCAATTGGGTGGGTGGAACCATCTAATTTTCCTTTAAACGAACAATTTACCAGTTTACAACTTGTACCGATTTCATTAATTCAAACCTACAATGAACATTTATGACAACAAATAATGATCATATATGGTTCCAAACGGAATTATATGACCCCGAGATGTATCCCATAGAATTTCAAGACTTTTTGACACCGGGCCCTGAACCTCCAAAATTTCTTAAAAAGCGTGGATATTAGCCTTCAATTTTGGAATTTTTTTGACTTATTTCGTCCGGAAATAAAAAATTCCGAAACGTTTACCATAGTCCCTAATACCTTCTGGGAGTCCAATTGGGTGTGTGTAACCATTTAATTTGCTTTTAAACGGCCAATTTACCGGTTTACAACTTGTACCGATTTACTGTTTTTTAACGGCCAATTTAATTAACTTGCACCGAACTCGACTTGAATCGAAATGGACCCCAACCCGTTTTAAGCCGTCAAAACCCGAATTTATCCTGACTTAGCTTGTTACTAATCTGACCTGAATTCAACCCGACCCGTTCTTAACTCGACCCGAATTTAACCCAACTTGTTACAAACCAAACCCGAAATCAACCCGATTTGTTTTTGATCTGACCCAAATTCAACCCGACTTGTTATTGACCCGACCCAAATTTTACCATACCTTTACTTACCTGACCCAAAAATTCAACCCGATCTGTTACTAACCCGACTCGAAATTAACACAACTTGTTATTGACCCGACCTAAATTTAACCCAAATTGTTCCTGCCCCAATTTCAAATCACCTTAAATGCAATTTAGACCACCGTATTATTGTTGATCAAAGCATTTTGTCTAGGGAGACCAATTCGGTCTAGAGGAGCATTATCCTTAAATTTAAGAGTTAAATATAGTGCTCCGTATATATTTGTTGTATGGTCAAAGGAGTTGATTATCTTCCTAAATTATAGACTATAGTTTCCTAGTATATTGTCATATATATTATAGTCAAAGGAAATAATTAGCTTGATAAAAATGGTATTTATCTATTTATAGTTAGTTGAACCCGAATATGACCTGACTTGGAAATGACCCGACCTGATTGTAACCTGCAAATTATTGACTCGAACACAACCCGACTTGAATCCGAGAATGACTCAACTTGGAAATGACCCAACCTGATTATAACCTGCAAATTATTGACTTGAACCGAACCCGACTTGAACCCGAGAATGACCCGACCTGATTATAATCCGCAAATTATTGACTTGAACCGAACCCGAGTCAAACCCGAGAGACCCGACCTGATTCTAACTCGCAAATTATTGACTTGAACCGAACCCGACTCGAAACCGAGAATTACCCTAACCCGTTTTAACACGTTAAAACCCGAATTAAACTTGACCAATTGTTCACCAGACCCGAATGTAACCCGACCTATTATTAACCCGACTTAAACCCGATCCAATTCCGATAAGAAGCATGACTTGACGTGACCCGACTCAAGCATGACCCAACCCAAACCCGACCCGCATAGGTTATGAAATTAATCTGAATTGACCCGACCTGAGTTGACCCGACCCACTCTTACCCGACCCAAACCCGACCCGTTTACCCAAATTGACAACTCTAACTATATATTTGTATGATTTGAGAGCGAGGGATATCTCAAGTGATTAGAGATTTCTTCCCGGTTTCAGGATCAATTCTGATTCTCATCCTTGTGGCTCTCCAAACACCCAAAAAAAAAAAAAAAAAACATTTGTATATATGACTTCAGCAAGTCTAGTTTTTCACAAACTAATGTGAGATTAAGAGGGTGACCGAAACTGATTGTATATGATGTTTTAATTAGTACGAAGTACATGCTAGCTAATGTAACTGGCCGCAAAAACTTACAATTAAATGGGTAAAATGGCTACTTGGCTAGATTAACCATAAAATCAATTAATGGTAACACTAGCTTTATTAGGGGTCATTTTGATGAGCATAATTGTCGTATCTTATTATGGTGTTTTACAGGCCAGATAGGCTTCTACAAAAGTATGTACTATAGTCTATAAACGCATTCCCATCAATTTAATTGTGTTTGATCATGTAATTAGCAAGGAGTATAATCATATTCCCATAAATTCGTATTGTGCTCATTAATGTCTTTGATAAATAACTTTAGGTTTCACGAGACATTTACTAATTAGATGTTATATTTCATGTCATTCACATATGATTAAAAATTCAATCCCTCGCAACAATAGTTGGGAGGGGATGATAACCTAATCACTCATAACTGATCCTCAAATTCGTATTAGCTCAAAGGATTAACCGGGTTAAACACCAAAAAACATACAATAATTTTTTTTATTGGATTAATACATACTTTGACTTCATTTTACAATCTGATACATTCTAAATAATCAAATTTCTATGTAGTCCAGTTATCTAGCAAGTTTGTGGCATAGTTGAATTTTGTGCAACATTCTTAAACAAGAATTAAAATCTAAAATCCACCTGTTTGTAAGCTTAAAATTGAATAAGATAGATTCCAAGCCCTAATAAAACTGTAGACAGAGTTAAACCAAATTGTGCAGTTGCACAAGCTGATCCGCTGTCATCAGACTCATCACGCCACGGCCGTCCCACCATAACCACGACTTCTGCCACGACTACCACCATAACCAAGGCTGCTGCCACGACTACCACCATAACCACGACTGCTGCTGCCACCAGAACTGCGGCTGCTACTGCCACCAAATATCTTACTGACTGTTACTGAACTGAATCGGTTGTCTTCTGACAATGCATCAGTTTCCTTATCATTATCATTATGTTCTTGCAAATCTGTGTGACAACAAATGTTTTTAAGCTTTAACTTGCTTTTAATTAGTAAAAAGTTCATTAATTTATAATGCTAATTATATAAACCTTGATCAGATCATCATCCACACATCAAATCGTGGTTGATATAAAAGTACACTACATTACTATTTACTAATACAACACTTTTTTTTTAAACAAACTAATACAACACTTTTAATCATAAACTACACTACAAAATCCAAAGAATATTTATATAATTTGTTTATCTCATCATTTAGTTTTTTTTTTTTTTTTTTTTATTTATTATTATTATTATTATTTTTTTAATAACGAAAATCATTGAGCATCTTTATTACGACATAATAATACGATCTAATGAAATAATTTCATCAAACAACATAATAGAATTAATATCAACATGTATGTTCATGCATGTTTCTCTCAACATATTCTTGAAGTTCTACTTTATCAAAACCATAACAAATCCATGTTTAGTACAAATGCGGAATAATGAATTAAATATAGGACGAAAGGAGTACTTAGTATAACACAATCATGCATTAAAAAGATTGAATCTTGAAGAGATAGTTAGAAAGAGTTACCTAAATTAGAGGCATTGGAAGCAATAATGTGCAAAATAAGCAGCAAGAAAACCAAAAACAATTTCATCCTCTTTTTTTTTTTTTTTTTTTTTTTTTTTTTTTTTTTTTCTGATATTTCTTGAACAAGGGATTCTCTAAAATCTGAACTTTAGCCAAGTTAAACGAGTTACTTTTATAGCGGAAATTGATTCGTAGAAGATAAATTTTCTATACTTCTTAAAAAATATCTTAGTATTAGGAATTTGCTTAAGAATAAACCTAATTAAGGAAACTATACTCTTTAATAAGTTCGGAATCTTTAGTTTTGAAATTACAAACTTTCTTACTTCGTACAGTATTTCTTTTGCGTTGTTTAGGTAAAAATTCTCATTTTATATTTTGGGTTTATATTGGGCTGCTTAATGGGCTACTAAGATTATAATTAGTTGTCCATTTGTTATGGATTTATAGTGGGCAGCTTAACGGGCAACTTAGACACGGTATGACTTGTTTAGTCGTTGATTGTATGGTACTATCTACCCAAAGTTGTAAATAATGTGAAATGGAGTTATGGGAAGTAATATTCTTACTCTTAAAACTATGTAAAATACATATTTAAGTTGTCATATTTTGGAGAAGAAAAAGCCTTATATAAATAACTAGATGAAACCCGTGCGATGCACGGTTTGTTAGTATTTTTTTTTAAAAAAATATTTTTCATATTTATGTGATTTTGTTATTATAGTAGCTTTAAAATATTAGATAAAATTCCTAATCTCAAAAGATAATATTTTGTATTTAATTAATTTAAACTTTAGTATCTTATTCGTCAATTTTGCTTACGTGACATTTGAATTATTTAACTGTAAAAGAAATTAATAATCTCTTATTTAATTGGCTACAACTTAAATTTATAATCTTACATGGCGCGATAAGAAAATTAAATCCTACGTGGCTCTCTAAAAACTCGGGGAAAAACTCCTCTTTATATATATATATATATATATATATATATATATATTAGATTATCTGGTAATATATTTATGCATTTAGGAGTAACGAACCCTCTCATTATATGTTAGATTTTCAAAAGTACTTTCGAAAAATATACTCGTACAAAGTAATTTATTTTTTGCATATATTTCAATACGAAGGACGTATAATCTGCTTAATCTACCAAAATTAATTGATACTCATATTTAATGTTCCTTTGTCTATACACGAAGTATATATTTGGAACTATTCAAAAAAAAAAAAAAGTATATATTTGGAACAAACTAACAATTTATTTTATGAAACAATAGGTTTTCTAATATGTAAAATACTAGAAAATTGAGTGCATTACAGAGCTAATGCCTCATATCAACCAATTAATTGAGTGCCATACAAATGGTACACAAACTACATTGGAAAAGATTTGGATTTGTGCTCGAGTAAAATTTAGAAGCTAAAGGCTTCGTAATACGGAGTAATATTTTGTACAATTATGCTAGATCGACCAGATAGTAGACCAAGACAAGTGCAACAACAAACACTTCACTTGCAAGTGGCAATATCTACTCGTGAAATCGGTGGAAACGCACTTGTAGTCCAGTAGAGCAATGGATCGGAAGTCTAGCAGGGTTGTGGCATTGTCAAGACTCTTAAGAGTATTCCGTCATCCCCAAAAACTAAGAAGTCTCACTCTAATATTCATCTACTAGTAAGCTTAAAATCGAATAAGAAAGATTCCAAGGCCTAATAATGTTGAAGGAAGAGTTAACCCAAGCTGTGCAGGGGAACAATTCGAGCCTCTCTGCTGGTGGTGACCCCTGTTTCTAGCAGCAGCAGCTGCTGCCCCAGCTGCTCCATAGAATGGGAGCATCCCTCCTTTTCCTCGGCCTTCATTACCGCCAACTCCCCCTTCACCACCACGACCACCACTGCCAACACCACGGCCTCCACTACTATGACCCCCACCACCTCCATGACCGCCACCTCCATGACCACCACCTCCACCTCTCTTGCTAACTGCGGTGATATGCGTTCTACTGTCTTCCGACCATACCTGAGTTTCCTTGATGTTATTATGGTCTTGCGAATCTGCATGACACAAATGTAGTTAAACAAACACATCACAACAAACAAAATCAATTGGTCAACCAAAGCCTTAATCCCATAAGTGGGGTCGGCAATATATTTGGTAAATCAACTTTTGCCCCCAAGAACGAACTTCAATTTATCCTGTTACAAATCCTTACACACCCATTTCAAAAGTTGATTAAATGACCCAGTAGTATCTCCTACAAATCGCTTAAAACATAATGGCCTTACGAAAGAGAGTAATAGGGCATCCAAAGAAGCTCACTTGTGCACTCTTCCCCACAGAAATTTTGCTTTTTTCTACTGGGATGAGAAAAGAACGTACAAGAGAGTGGTAATAGATACTTTCATCACACAAAAAACTACTCTGGGCCTCAGACAAACAGAAGAACATTTGCTACTTTATCTACTTTTTAGGACGAGATGATACATTTTGATGAAATTTGATGCTGGAGTGAAGCACATATAAAGTGTTAAAGCACTTTTTACAATCTTGTGTGAGTCCGCCTCATACAAAGTTAATCTCGATTAGTAACACTACCAAAATGTTCTACTGAAAATTGAATTGGGATATCAGCTGATCAAACTGATCGAGTTGGGGGGAATGGGGCTCATTGTCAAATAAAATGAATTATTGTGGTCCATAACTTATGGTGCCCACGTTCCAACTATATGTGGTAACATATGTTCATGAGTTCATCGCCTCGTAAGTTTTCAATAACATAGGACCCTTCTTGTCATCACCTGAGTTTCATCAGTTTGTTTGGTATCTAGGGTTTCCTAGCCAGATTCAACTGCGAGTTTTACACTGTCAGACAGAAGTGCAGCACTCAAATCTAATGAGGGGATAAGCAGTCAATAGGTTTTATTCGATCAAAATTCATCAGTGGAAGTCTATCCACTAGCCCAAAGCAAGCTTTACTTCTACGGAGTAACTTCTAAGGGCTAACACTATATGTGTACTTCTAATCAATCACAAGGTCAAGAACACATTATCAACCCTGTTCTCCAATCTCTTGGATTCAGCCAGAAAATAATCCAAGGATACCCTACTAATTGTTTTTACACACACAATTAAGCAAATTAGCTGGTTTAGCCCATACATATCTAACACTAACTCAAAAGTCAAAACTCAAAACTCATGGCTCGATAAAAGATAAAATTCTTTGTTCATTTGTGTTACCCACATTAGAAACTAAGCTTTATGAATAAATATGAAGGCACACTCCATGTTCTTACAGTCTACAACACTACTCTACATAAAAAAAATCTTCATGGTAAAATTAAACCGGTCGCACCTTACAAGGTACAACCAAAGGTCCAAAGCCATTATTTGACTCGTGTGCTCACAAATTACAAGCACATGGACACAGAAATAACCTTGATAACATGCACAAAGTATAACCAGTAGTACATCGAAGTTTGCGCTCTACAACCTACCTACATTTTCAATGTCACATAATTTTCATTAGCCAACAACCACCTCTAAACGACTAAACCAATTAGAATCCCATGTTTTAATCAAGTTCACATTTAGTGACCAAAATAAACAACTTTACCCCTTTTTCGGGTGGGGCAACAGGGTGGTTGAAATCAAATTTGGAACACAAAACACTGGCATTTTCTTTAATTGCTTTTGATTGACAATAACTTTAAAACAATAGTTGGTCATTAAATCGAACATAATTACATTTGATTCAAAAATTCTATAGTGCAATTCCAATCAGATAAAATTGAAACGACACTGAGAAGATTGATTGATTGATTTATGACATGATTTAGTGCAACTTCGTGCATCTTTGTCAAGAATGTCAACCAATACTTATGACATGATTTAGTGCAACTTGGTGCATCTTTGTCAACCAATTCAACTCCACATTTTCCACTTCCTACGAAATTCAACTTCACATATCTTTGTCGTAACAACTCCACAATTTTCCACTTACTCAAAATTTCGTGTACATTTTATGTGAACCACTTAGTATAAAGTTACTCTAATAATTAAATCAAGAAGCCATTAATATAATCATATCTACTCCCTCTGTCCCTATATTACATTCCTCTCTCTATTACATGAGGAATACATGTTAGAAGTAAATGAATGTAATTTAGGGACGGAAGAAGTACTAAAACGGCCAACTAAAAAACTCCTAAAATCTTTTTAGCATCAACTAAAATAATAACATCACACATCTTTCTACTCCATAGAACACATCACATTATTAAAAATTAAAACTAATATAGTAATTGTAAAAATCAAAGACAAACTATAATCAATGTCACAACTGATTATGATAAATTGCAAAATAAGAAACTAAAACAACAAAATTAGTAATAATGGCAGTAAAAATTTACCTAGATTAGAAGAATTAGAAGCGAGTAGCATGAGTTGAATTTGCAGAAAAACCACCCAGAAAACCCAAAATAATTTCATTTTTTTTTTCGCAGTTTCTCTCTCCTCAAAAGTAAAGACACGGGATTCTGAACTTCATAGAAGCCAATATTTTGTTTTCCTTTTATAAAAAATAAAAATGGTTGGACAGGTGTTGCAGTGTTAAAGAAGCAGGGGAGAATAAGAAGTTTGCTTTAGAAAATAGAAATGGAAGAAGCGAAGAACTTTAAGGAAATATAGAGAAATAAGTTTGGAATTCTCTTTTTTTGGGCTTTGGGTTTATCCTCTTTAAAAGATACGGATTACAACTTTAGTTGTTAGGCCCGCATACCGTGTGTTCACATTTAGGGGGTGTTTGGTATCAACTTAGTATTGGTAACGGAATGGAAACAAATTAGGAGTGGAAAGGGTAATATGTAGTGTTACCCTTACTAGTTGTTTGGTATTACTAAGAAAACGTAAACAATTACAACCAATCTATTTCCTTTTCTTTGGCATAAAAAAAGGGAAAACAAATTTATTTATTTTTTTTAAAAAAAGGAAAAACAAAATTAATATTTAGTGGGCGACATTTATCGCAATTCACATTCACAGGCTGCAAAATTGCTTCAAGACTTCAACTTACTCTTTTTTTTTTACTCCAATTTAATTACTCTAATTTAATAATTCAAATCATCAAAAATCAGATGACTAGATCACTTTTTCTTTTATGGATCATTAAATCTCAAATACACTAGATTGAAATCTCATTCATCATTGATCATTATGAAAGCTCATTCATTTTTTTTTTTTGGTGGGTTAGATGTGAGAATGATGAGTTGTTGAGTGATTTACTTGACCCAAATTTGACAAGTCTTGAATAATCGAATTCGGAAGAGAGAGATTGGGTGAGTAAGAGCTTTGGAAGAGAGAGTCAATGAGAGAAGTTAACATTATTGAATGCCGGAAAAGGAATTTGTTTCCTTGGGTCAACGAGTGGAATCAAACTGGGGGGATTTGTTGCACCTAGGTAACGGTTTATGTTACTTTCTAGCCTTACCAAACAAGTAGTAATGGAGTGAATTATTTGAATCCGTTACCATGGCTTAAAAGTTCCATACCAAACACCCCCTTTGAATATCTACTCCCTGTTATGAAAATATTGTGTGGATATCCATTATCCTCTTTGTATGTTTCCAGAATATTCTAAATCTATGGTTTATTCTTATCTAAGCAAACCCTACTTATAATATTCTATGTATATATATACCCCTATCATATGGAATAGAAATACAGTGATATATTCTCTATCAATCTCTCTTATATTTCTCCCTATTTTATAACACGTTATCAGCACCAAAGCTCTAATTATTATCTTGTTATGTCGCATCTTGGGAAGAAAGTAAAAGGAGATTAATCTTGATCATGGGTTTTGATCTTTTAATAATGAAATCACACGTTTCAAGAATGTCATATCATTCCCAATCTTCATTAATTAATTTGGGACTAGTACAAGTAGTCTCACGGTATTAATAATTTGGAATGTTAATGGTAGTGCCGCTTTATTTAATTACAAAGAACTCTCGTATTATTTTTTGGTTGCATTGGTTTGTTTATCTTGAATTATTGCTATACTTTATTTTCTTTACATTGACGTTTTATAGGCTAGCAGAGTAGCAGATGATGTTGACAACATGAATTTGACGATAAGGCTGGTTTTTATAGTGGGAAAGATTTTGATATCAGGAAAGTTCATTCTCAACTATCCTGTTATTGTTAATTTTAAGCCTTCACATAATATGTTTATATTGTTTCCCAAATTTTCGTATTTTTATTATTCCTAGCGTTCAATGAGCAATTTGGGAATAGTTGGATTTGATGCAGAAAATAACTAATTAGTAGTTTTGTTTTGACTATGAGTTTTGTTTAGTTTGAATATAAAAGGGTATTTAGAATTATTATTGGTGTTAATTTTATGAACATATGGTTTTCATGAACTTGTATTACATATATTTGCTAGATTTTGATATTATTTTTCCTATCCGTAAATGAGTTTGGTTATTTCTCTATGCTTCATAGCAAATATGAATGGTTTGATTTAGCAATTATTTACCCATATAATTTGTTTGTGAAATCCTATGTCTAATGCCTTGAATGTTTGTAAATTGTACGAAGTAAGCCTAAGGTACATGTGAAACTATTTATAATTTATGTATTGAATTATGTTTTTATATTTCAAGTATGATATGAAACATGTGGTTTTCCACTAACGTGAACGTGTTAATTTTGGTTGCTTATGTGCTTATTTCTATTTTCTGATTAAGCTTTATCAAGACAACATAGTTGATTCAATCGATTCAGGTATGTTTTTATTAAAGCGTGAAGTAGTAGGTTTTCATATTTTTACCTTCTCATTCAATTATAGTATTATGTACCTACTTGAAGTTTGATTATTGGAATAAATGTAAATTGAATACGATGTGCGGACCTGAAGTTCCTTATATTTATAAAGAGTATTCACACTAGCTTGAACATATAAATGGCTCAAAACCCTTAAGGATAATACAAAGAAACGTGCATGATCTACAAAGCTAAAGCATATTTCTTAGATATCCACTACATACTAACGTGATTCTATAAACACAATGTCATGTTTACTTATGTTTCCAAAGATTAATTTTAATTTGGCTAGTATAGTTGAGTGGATCGAATAAGGTATGTTTTGATTAAAGCTCGAACTGATTATGTCATGTCTTATTTTTACCTTCTCTTTCTGAAAAATGTAGATGGATTGGTATATATTCTCGTACATATGGACTTGAAGTTCCTTAATTAATTAAATATATAGCAAAAAGTGTGTTATGAGTTCAAGTAATTAAACATGACATTGTGAGAAACTATACATAATCAATGTTTTATTATGCCCATAAATATAAGAGGTTTTGTTTTTTTAAGATGAATGTAATTGGGCTTGAGGAACATGATAAGTGTTCTAAGTATAATTTTATATAAGCATGTTTTTGCTAAAAGGAACACGTTACTTGATACATGATATTGCCAAAAGAATTGGCAAAAGAATTTATGGCTTAAAAGTTGCAAGGATTTTAAAGGTTGTTGGATTGATTCATTCCATACCCCCATATGCAAGGATTAGGAGGAGATTGTATGTAAACCTTGCATATAAATAATAAAAAAGATTGATAGTCAGTTTGATACATACAATAACTTAAATATCAACGATTTATTCAATTTAATAGAAGTGACCACATGTTCATTAAATATTTTGAAATGATATCATCCTGAAGATGGATATAAACAAATGACATTTATCATATACTAGTTGTAAATGCTCTAATTTAAAATTGATGTCCTAAGAGTACAACATCAATTGTTGATGAACCTATAGCATGCCTGAAGCGTGATAAATCAATAGGTTCTAAAGATTATAGTCAAAACTCCAGCAGAGTATATATAAGTAATTATTAGATATTAATTAGTCAATTGTCTTGCCAGTTGTATAAAGAAACACATGTTGGTGTTCTAATATCACATCACATTCATGGCCATGCACATAGTAAGTTTAATAAAGTGATCACTAGTGTTGAAAACTGACCAGAGTTCAAATTTAGAGAAATGATTGGATGTGATAATTAAATTAGGTCATCCGGGTTTAATAATAATTACCCATAATGGAAACCTGAAGTTCATTTGATAATGTGCTGACGCTTTCTCAATGTTAAATATATAAAATGAATTGAATGGCAAGACGTAACATTAAGATTGAGTTATATTTGGATTGTGAGTTATAATAATTTGTATTGATGAAAATTTCAAGATTTAATATGTTTTGATTTTTTTATAAAGGAGTAATGGCTGACCAGAAATTCACCAAAATAACTTATATATTATTGTCAACTGTCAAGTGATCAGAAGCTCACCAAATACACTATTTAAGTCTTTAAAGATCCAGAAGATCATCACCTACTAGAATTACGAGCAAGTGATTTATACTTGTATACAATTCCTTTGATTGGGGCTATTATAAGTCAGCACATATGAAATAGGAGAAGAAAGAAAAACGTACAACTGCACAACATATGTCTCCCCATTGACATTGATCTCCAGAAGAGAAATATAAAGTTAATGAATAAATGATTCTTCATCGAAATTGTTCTCCGGAAGAGATAAATTTTGATTGTGATCCTCCCAACGAAATGAATTTTAATGCAAATTTATATACTAAGTTGGTATAGAATTAGACGCCCCTATAAAAGAGATATTTTACAACCTTAGGGGGAGAAGAAATAGCAAAAGTTGGGAAAATCGAAAAAAAAAAAAATTTATGATCCCTATAATGGTAGTTTGAAAAGTTATATATAAACCAACTTTCGTATATATATTATCAAGATATGTTGCACATTTATGATTTGATTTGTATTCAGTTATGAATCATGTTGCATAGCGTTGAAGATACATTTTGGTCATATTAATTATGTGTATACATTGAGATAAAATCTTGCCAATTGCACTTGAATCACTACACCTGAAGTGTAGGTTGTATACGATCAGTTCCAAAATAAAGATATTTTAATAGATATGATATTTGGCAAGATAGTGCAGTTGACACTAATAGTGTAATAATATATAAATACAATAGTGTATGAAATACCCTAAAGTGGTATAGATATCTGAATTATTATAATAGATGGCTTATGATGTTAGAAAAGTTATGATGGTACCAATGAGAAATGTATTAAGATATCATAGTAAAATAGCATGCGAAATGTAAGTTAAAGGAATTTTATAATACTGGTACATAATGGAACCGATGAATAATATGCATATGCATAATGGAATGGACTAATAAGTAAGGGATCAGAAATATATGTACATTTTGATGTCGACATAATGATAATGATCATAAGTTTATCATGGACCCAAAGTCCAATGAAATATGGATTTTTTAAATCCACGCTGTACAATGTCTTGCATCATTTTGAGTCTTATATTCATGAGCACGTGACTCATAGTTTAATGGTTTATTGCATATGTAGGAAGAGATGCATTACTCTTATATAATTTGTTTAATATGTTATCATGCTTTATATATCTCATATTGCATGGATTAATTTCTTACAATGGCTGTGGTGTATGTGAATGTTCTTTCAAAATATAGTAAGACATATTTATAACTTTGATGAAAAATTAGAAAGAGATATTTATATTCCAATGTGTTATAATTGTAATGAAATTATTGATGACACTTATTTAATTGCACGTTATGAATCATG